TGCCCAGTGGCCAGAGTCAGGTAATGGCTTGAGTCAATGTGGCTTTCCAGTTTAGCCAGGTTGTATCACCTAGTGGTCAGAGTCAGTGTGACCACCTGACTCAGCAGGGCAGTATGGCCTAGCAACAAGAGTCAGTAGGGCTGCCCTCTCTCAGGGATGCTTGGCCCAATGGCCAGAGTCAGTAAGGTCACCTCTCTCAGGGCTGCATGGCCTATTGGCCAGAGTCAGTATCACTGCCCCTTCCATGGGGCTGCCTGGCCTAGTGGCCTGTTAGGGGAATAGGCCACCACCACCCCAGGGGAGGTGGAGGCCAGTAGGGGGACCCAGGCCCTCCCTATTCCACTGCATCCCAGCTCAGGGCCCTGTCAGTGGCAAGCATGCCTACCACTGGGTCAGCAGGGAATATGTCCAAAACACACTGACCTCACTCAGCACCACAATTAGTCTCCCTGAGCTACTTCCTACCAGGTTCCTGATGCCATGGTCCCAGTGTCTCTAGGCTCCCCAGTCAGTGCAGCTCCCTGCAGCTCCACTCCTTGGGCATCCTCCAGAGTCTGTCTCTCTAGCTTCTACCATCTGGGGAGTCTGCAGCTCCTAGATTGTCGCTCACAGCACGTGTTCTCTCTCTCCTCAACAGTCAGCCCTGAATGAGCTGAGCTGCTCTCTTTTATACCTAGTCTCCAGGGCTACAGGGGTGTGGCCTCATTGGCCCAGAGAGAGGAGTTAACCCTCAAAGTACCAGTGCAGGGCCAGTGCACTCTATCACAGTCTACAAGGCAGAGAACTAGGCACATGGAAAGGAAAATGAGGTGGGGAGAAGAAGAAGGGGCAGGAGAGAAAATTTGGGTGGGATATTAGAGAAAACAGGTTAGCAAAGAGGTATTTGGGGGAGACAGGGACAGAAAGCTTGGAGATTGTTAAAATGAAGGGAGAAAAATAGAAGGTGTCATTTTAAACTATGGGTTGGGCTGAGGAGAAATTGTTGAGACCATCAGAGTCTTAGGATGAGGAATATACCAAACAATACTATTAGTCTGTCAAGTGCAACATCACCTCTTATGAAAATGTAAGAAGCCATACAGATACAGAGATAATTTATGCCTTGAACTACACCAACCTGAAGTATAGTAAAAATAATACTACATCATTTATAAGGCCTTTTATTGCTTCCTCAGTCTGTGTTTTTTCTGCATGGTGTTCCTTGGACCAATTTACTGGAAACCTAAATTTCATTAACATTGCAGAGCTTTGCAGCCCCCAATTTAGCCATTTAGAAGCTGATAAACCCCCCAAGTATTTTCCCTAAATAACTGTAACCACGTAAGATGACTATAGATTAGGGTAGCTACAAATCAAGTTTTACTGTGTTCAAGTGTTTTTTAAACTGAACATCCCAAAGGGAGTCACTAATAGTCTTCATATAAAAGGAAAAGAAATTATGAACCTTAAAAACTCGAACTTGCAAAAGTTCAAGCATCTTCTGTTGATCCTATGAATAAGTTCAACATCAGAGAAGTACAAAGTATTTTAAATGAATTCTGGAGTAAGGTACTGTACTGTACTGCAGCATGAACTTTCCCCAAAGAGGCCTCTATAGAAAGCAGGACTGAAAAATTAGAAAAACTATTAAAAAAAAATTACTGTTGCCCAGTTTGACCCAAGTGGCTATTCAAAGTTTGGGGCCCTGTGGGTGTTCCAGTTGGTGGTAAAAATTGGTGATTTATTTGATGTAGTTTTATTTACAAAGAATGTGCAGAGTCCTGTGTCTCTGAATGCAGAAGGAGTTAAATAACAGGAAAGGGCTTATTTTGCTTTTGATCCTCCACCCCAACCCACATCTCTCTCCCCCCAGGTTTCTTCCAGAGTCAGCCACTATGCTTTCAGCTTCTCTTTCAGGCCTGGTCTACTTGCGTTGACCTATTTGTTCATGTGTCTACACTCAAATTTGTCTCCAGATTATATAAGTGCCCCATCATGGCATTACAGTAACACAACCTCCCCAAATGGCTTTGAGCTGTGGTTGACCTACACAGTGAATAGTCTACACAGCATTAGTGTACACACTGTATGACAAATGTCAACCCTGACTGTCCTCAAGCAGCTGTCCCACAATGCCTGACAGTGATCGCTCTGGTGACAGTTATGAACTCCACTGCCAAGGGTCACTGAGACCAGAAGCCGCACACCCTTTTAAAATGCCTGAGTATTTTCGAAATCCCTTTTCCTCATTGCCCAGCTTGGCAAGACCACCTAGCATTGCTCCTTTGTGTGTGCAATTGACCAACTGACCATGCCATCTCCATGCTCTAGACATGCCTCTTCATGGAGAAGACAGGAGGTATTAGATCTCCTATGCCTGTGGGGAGAAGAGGCTGGGCAGGCACAGCTACGGCCCAACCATAGAAAGATGGACATCTATGAAAAGATTACACAAGATGTAGTAGGAAGAGAGCCTGAAATATAAGGCCTTGTATCAGAGGCGGTCTGAGGCCTGAACTAAAGTAGTGGTCAAAGCTTTGCAAAATCAGGTTGTGAGCTAGAGGCAGGCCCTGCTCACAGAATCTGGCAAGAACAGGGCTGATATTGCAAAAACTCACATTCCTAAGAGGTGCTAGGCACAAAGCACTCATGATGACCCATCCTAAAGATAAGGTCAGGATGACAGTGTAATGGATAGAGATGTACAAGGTGATGGGTGGTAACTGGCGATGTCAGAGGGAGTCAACTAACCAGGTCAGAGGGGCAGTACATAACTTGTTTGTATTGATATATAAAATGGAGTCTCAAAGGAAGTGTCTCTTTCTGGCCGAGGGGAGAATGGAAAGTCCCGCCATTCACTGAGCCCGTCCATTGTCACGGGTATACATGTGTTAGTGTACCTGTAAACAGTGAGCTGGGGCATTAGCACTGTGCCTCATCGGCAATAAACCTGACAAAGTTCCTTTGCTACGAACCAAGTCTGTGGATTTTTTGGTCAGTTTGATCATAGCCTGCTGTCTGGCTATCTGGCCAGAGTCAGTACAGCAGTGCCTCATGAAAGCAAAGGAACTGCAGCAGGCATACCACAAGGCCAGAGAGGCCAAAAATCAATCTGGTGCCGAGCCATAGACCTGCTTGCTGCTGTTACAAAGATCTGCATGCTGTATTTGATGGAGACCCACTAGCACTCCACAGACCACTGTGGTTACGTCTGAGGAGCCCAAAACACAGACTCCTGCTGTGAACTCAGGCGATGGGGTGGACATGCAGTGTGGGCTAGGCTATGGCATGAGCCGGGATCTTTTAAAACTCCACTGTAGTTTAGCCAGCCCCATGAGCTGAGCCTGGACAAGTCCATAAAGGGGAAGGAACCTTGGGTAAGCATGTGAATGTATTTTTTCTTACAATTTATAAAAGTAAAGATGGTGCCCAGCCCAACCCCAAGTTAAGACACAGATCTATACATTTCATTGTTTTGCTCATATGAAAAGAAGTAGCAGTGCAACAAACAGAGGTAGACCTGTTATCTGCTTTCATTTCCCTGTAGAGGTAGGTGGGGGCAGGGCATGCGGAGCTGTTTGTTTATATACGCATCTCCCTTGTGTCCTCCTGAGAGATTTTGATGAAACTTTCATGGAGGTACAATCCTCTCCCAAAGGCTTCTATGAAAGGCAGCCTTATTTCTTCCTTTGTGGTAGAATACTTTCCCGCACCACTCTGCAGGATAGATTCAGCAGACTCCATTGCAATTAAAAGGCTAGTGCCATATGGGCCTGGGAAGCGGGCAGCAACTGTGCTCTCTCTGCCTTTGCTACCCTCAGAAGTGAGATACAGCAGCCCCTCGCTAGAACGTGCCTCTATATCGCGCGAATTTGCATATAACACGGTTGTGGCCATGGATCCCAAATTTAATTACAATTCATTTAACGCGGTCCCCGCATTAACGCAGTACCGCGCATGGATCCCAAATCCCGCGTTCTAGCGAGGGGCCGGTGTATCAGCTACAATCACCATTGCCTGTGGAAAATAGTGCCATGTCTGAGTGCCATTGCCCTGTATTCATGCCCATGGAAATAGGGGTCATAATTTTATTTTTTCATGCAACATCCCTGTTGTCCTTGGCAGGCCATACTCACCTTGGCTGGGGCTGGAAAGTGGTGTGTGCAGAGGCTCTCCAAAGCTGAAGTGTCAATCAGCAGGTCTTATTTAATTTTATGGGAATAAGGGAAGAGTGTTCTGAAACTTAAGTTTTGCTTTCCATTGGGACTCTAAATCCAATAATACAGCTGTCTGTTTTAGCTGTAGCTGCTGCTGATGTGGCCTTGAGGGGTCAACCCTCTATACCCATGGTATGCCTGACCTTGAGAAGGAGGAGAAAGAAAAGGATTCGGGATGACATTTTCACCGAGATCCTGCAAGCCAGCCTTGCAACAGACCTTGGATAGAGGGCCTAGAGGGTGAATATTTCAGACAGTGTCAAGAAGGAAAGAGTGAGCAGGAGAAAGGCCCAGGGGCCGCAGCAGGAAAAGGAGAGGGAGCTGCACCAGGACACAATGAGGTTTTTCAGGCAGCAAACACAAATGCTGCAGACTGTTGTTACAGGTCCAACAATCACGGGCTCACCTCCCTTTGCAGTCAATGGAGAACTCAATTTTATCAGCTCCCAACACACACACACACACACACACACACACTAGCATTCCATGTGGCCTCATGGGCTGCATTTCTCTTCCCCTGCCACTCCAGGGACAGTAAGGCCAACAGCAACTTCACATACACTGACCTATGAGAGCTATGGCTGCTGTATGCATAGCCAAAATGGACTGAAATGTTTTCTACTTTTAAAGTTCTACTCTGTAAATTCATTTTAAAAGTTTGTATTGCATGGTATTTTAGTTGCACATCATGTTTGTACACTGATTTTGGTACTCAATAAATGTCTGCGTTTTGGAAATAACTTCATCTTTATTAATTTACAAGGTATACTGAGAATGCCCAGCACTATGGAAAGTACCCTCTACTTGTGAGTAAACAGGACCACAAAACTCAAATTTCAATGAAAAACAGTGTAATAATTATAAATGTGCAGCAAGCACCACACACTTCCTAACAGCCCCCAAAACATCAGGGCCAGGTAGAGAACAGCAACTACCCCACACAACTCTGACTGTGCTGACCATAATAGTGCTCTTTTCAAGGCCTCCCTCAGCCATCTAGCTGTGCATCAAGTTCTTCTACTGGCTCTTGTATCTGGCTGATGAAACTCAGCAGACAGATGCTCCACCTTCACTCTTCACCCTGGCAGCAGCTTTTCCCCCTTTGACTCACAGATATTATGCAGCACACAACAGGAGGCTTTAACTGTTTGAATTTTAATGAGAAAAATATCCCATCTTGTGAGTAAACACCGCCATGGTCCCTTTAATCTACCAGAAGTATATTCAACAGTCATTCTGCATCTGCTGAACTGGTAGTTGACTCTTTTCTTGATGCTGACAAGATGACCAGCATATGGCTTCATGAGCCAGGGTCAAGGAGTAGGCGGGGACCCCCAGAATCTGTATTGGAATTTCAACATCACCAGTGTTAATCCACCCATTAGGAAAGAATGTCCTTGCTTGCGAGTGTCACAAACCTTCCCTCACCAGCCCAGATTGATGTCAGTGAAGCATCCCAGTGATGCATCAATGCTTCCATAACTCTAGAAAAGTAGCCCTTTCTGCTGATGTACTCTGTGTAAAGGTGGGATGGTGCCAAAATAGGGATGTGAGTACCATCTAGTACCCCACTGCAGTTCGGGAACCCCACTGCTGCACATCCATCCACTATGTTCTGCACATTGCTGAGAGTCACAGTTCAGCATAGCAGGAGATAATTAATGGCCCTACAAACTTACATAACAAGGGACCCCACTGTGGATTTTCTAACTCCAAACTGATTTCTTGCTGACTGGTTGCAATCCAGTATTGCAAGCTTCCCTAGTGCTCTAACCTTTCACTACTCAACTGTCAGTGCAGCTCTCATTCTGGTGTTTCTGCACCCAAAAGTTCTGTAGCCACTGCTTGTTGTCCCAAACCTGCCTTATGATGCAGTCCCACCAGTCAGGTCTCATTTCTCAGGGCCAGACATGGTGCTTGACTGTCTGCAGCTGCTCCATAAATACCAACAACAATCTTGAGTTGGTTTTCGCTGTGTCCTCAGCAATTTGCCCTTGAAGAAATTGTCATGTCCACGGTTGTTGCAGTTCTTGGGGTTCTGTACATATTGGAGGATCATTCATCCTGTGCTTGTAATGGTCACAACGATAGTGCAGAGATCTCTGGGCTCCATACTTCTGTCAGAGATGGTGGACAGCAAAAAGTGCTGTTAGGATTTTTAAAATAGCTGTGAAAATTATGGGATGTGGATGGCATTATGGAATGGAGAAAGTTGCATGATGGGAACATTACCCCTTGCACCTATCATCCCGGCCACACAATACACTGTGAACATTTCCCAAAAGACAGCATGCTGGATGATGGCGAGTGGCACACTGTGATACCTACCCATAGTGCACCGCACTGCACACCAACACAAGCACTCCTAATAAATATGTGAAGCACTGATGCAAACAGCCAAGCATGCATGCGCATGAGTGATATACTAACTGCTGTGGCTTTATGCCAATGTAATTTGCGTTGACCAAAGTTTATAGTATAGATATGGCCTCTGTCTTTCTTGTCTGTTCTCAGTTTCTTTGTGTTGTGCCTTCGTCCCCCACTTCCACGCCTTTCCAAAACAATACTTGGCAAAAGTTTCTGGACAAGGTCACACACTCCTTTTGTTTTAGTGGGATTTATGCTTATAGTTATGTTAATGGAAGGATAAATTCACATCTGTCAATCTCAATCCCATAAAAAGTTTTCTCCCAGCTCATACAATACTTTCTGTCAGTCAGTTGGGGGAATGTAGTTTTATGATCCTACGATGATTTAATTCACTCTAATTATACATTGTATTTTGGTAGTTATGGAGGCATGTTTCTGCTATGTATAACCTAGAAATATTTCTCATCTCTGTGGAGAATACAACCTCAATATGCCCTAATTTTCAAAGGGATCACAATCTGGTCTCCATTTGCATGATCAAGCAATTTTACACAGGAATATGACAAGCACGTGTAATTTTGTATGCAGTAACACTTCTGCAAGCTTTACTACTAGACATACATACATACATAATGTATACATGTGTAACTTTAGCACCCTCCTGGCCAAGATGGAGCCTGCTCTGCAGGCAGCTCTCGCCAAGAGAAAGTGCGAGCAGGAATGCAGCAGGAAAATCCCTTCCACCCCAGGGCCATCTGTTCCAAACCCCCCAGAGTGAACACACACACATACTGGAAAAGTGCAATGGACATAAAAAAGAGAAATATTTACTTACAGAAGGATGAGAGGAGAAAAATAACAAGGGGAAACATAAGGGGAGCGGTAAAACAAGGTTGCATTCAACACAAGGCACCCACAGGCCCAGTGGTAGCGTAGTCTGAAAGGGCAGACACTGAGCAATGTGTCTGCACACAGAGTTCAGGAGTCCTGAGCAAAGTTCCAATCCAGTGGTGAGTCTTGGGTGCTCCTGGTCATCTTCACTGCCAGTAAACTTTCCCCAACGAACCCCTCCACAGGGGCAGCACGTCCATATAGGCAAACTAGGCAATCACCTAGGGTGCCAAGTTAATGGGGCACCACATTTGAGGGGAAAAAATCAAATTTTTAAAAAAAGAAAATGAAAAAAAAAAAGAAAAGGATGAAGAAAATTACAAATAAAATAATGAAGATGTCATCATTTCAATTCCCTTGCATGTACATGGGGAATATGAATTATAATTCATTTCTCTACATTTCTGATAGTTTCTTAATATGTCAAATCTTTTATTTACTGCAAAAATAAATAATATTTTAGCAAAAAAAAATTTCAATTTGTGACATAGTGTCAAGGTGACCCACTCAACAATTTTGATAAGCAATAACTCAGCCACAATGAAATACATCTGCCAGCAGCAAGAGCTGTAATGCTAGTGACACCTGACTCGAATATACATCAAGGTCGCATAGTTGGAAATTCATGTAGAGTGGAGAATTTGCAAGTTGATCCATGTCAAACGGTCATTTTAACATGTCACAGGTAGATGGTTAAGAATTGAGCAAATACTCTGGAAAAGTGTGTTTCTTGGTGCCAAAGAATAAAGAATAACGTCTTTCAGAATTATAAATCCAAAATGTGAGTATCTTTAAGCATTATAAACCTTAGCAGTATTATCGAGCTGTATAATTATGAACTTTTCTTTGTTATAATTGGTTCACATGTAATAAATAAAGTCCATAAAAGAAAAGTAACAGCGTTAACACTTATGTCACGGTGCGGGACTCGCCCCTGCAGCGCCACCTGCTGGTCATCCAGGGAATTAGAGTTCCAGCCTCCAGAGCACCCTCTGCAGGTCGGTGTCCTGCTTCCCCTGGCCCCCGTGTCCCTCCTGGACTCCGGTGCCCCTTTTACCCAGGGTGCTGCCCCCTGGCAGTACCCCCACAGTCTCTGGGTCTCCCCTCCCTGGGGAACCCCCACCCATTATCCCCACCTCGCCTCAGTCTTTGGCTACTGGCCAGTCACCATTGAGCCCCCGCACACTAGGGAGGACTTCAGTGTATAAGCCAATCATCACAGGCAAGGCAGGGTTGGACCTGCTGCCTCTGCCTACCTTTGGGCTGCCCCCTGCAGCCCCAGTACCTATCCGGCCTTACAGGAGGCCTGCAGCCTGGGTGGGGGGGCATTTCTAGGCTGGAACTTCCCAGCTCCTCTGGCCTTCCCCCAGCCCTGCTCCACCTCAGGTACTCTGGTATGCTCCCCAGCAGCCAGGCCAGTCTCCCTCCATAGCTAGAGGAGACAGTCTGCTCTTGGCCCACTGCCCTCTTATAAGGGCCAGCTGAGCGCTGATTGGGGCGTGGCCATAGCTGAGCCTGCTTCCCCCAGTCAGCCTGGGAACTGCTTGCTTCCAGCCACAGCCCTCTCCTGGGCTGTTTTAAGCCCTTTAAGGCCAGAGCAGGTGGCTACAGCTTAATAGACTACAAAAGTGATGACACCACACTCCAAGTGGGTAACCATGAGGAAGGGGATTACTTTCCAAACAACCGGTGTCAGGTTATAACGTCAAAAAAGGTCATTTTGTTTCCGTGTAAATGCTGTAACTAATTGTTTTAATAGGTAAGGGAGTGTATGTTACTAATCACTGAACCTTTAAGCAGTGAAAAGACATGTTGGGATGGCTGCAATGCGGTTTAAATCGCTAATCATGTGGTGTGTCAGCCATCCTTAACGCTATCGTGCTTGCAGTCGGGAGCACAGTACATAACAATATTCAAATGCCCCATGGCAGAAAGAGGAAAAAGAAAACCCTTGGGAGCTGAGTATCATAAATGAAAAGCTGAGAAGGAAAAGGACCAAGCAAAACAGCAGGGATCCTTCCTGAAATATCTTCTCTTTAATCCAAATAAAGATGGAAGCCATTCACAGCATCCAGATGAAGGAATTTTACTTGGAGAGGAGGTTAGTGCACATCCTCATGGAAGCAGTTTGGAACATCAAGATGAAGGTAAATTATTCTGAGATGAGGGTAGCTCACATCCACAAAAAAGCAGTTTGGAAACTCAAGATGATGGAAACCTACTTCTAGATGAAGGCAGCTCACAGCATCAGACTGATGTGGAAGTGGAGAAAATTTATTCACTTTCAGAGACACATGCAGAAATTGAAGTAAATGAAGTAGAAGGAAGAAAGGATGAGGAAGTTACAAACAAGTTACAGTATGGGGACCCAGCTTCATGGCTCAGATGTGATGACAGTGTGCGGCAAATTCTCGTGGAACATAGACCCGAACAAGTTCATGAATTTCCCTTCCTTAAGGATGAAAATAAAAGAAAGCTGGATACAATATTCATTGTCGATGGACTCTGTGTTTTGCTTTTGCTGCAAGCTGTTTAGAAATCAGGTAATTGGTACATAAACTTACTGAAAATGGTTTGAAGCACTGGAAAAATATATCTTCAATTCTCTCTTCACATGAAAAGTACAGAACATTTGGAATGTTTTCAAAATTGGAAAGAACTGAATTACGATTGAAAAAAGGAAAACCTATCAATGAAAAAAATTTACGTGTGATCAAGGAAAAAGAAGAATACTGGCAATAAATTTTAGAGCATCTGATTGCTTTAGTGAGAGTTCTCAGTGGGCAAAATTTAGCATTCCGTGGCCGCTGTAGAAATAAAAAAATATATACTCCAGGTACTGGAAACTTTTAAAAATTTGTTGAATACCTAGCTTTGTTTGATCCAGTCATGAAGAAGCATCTACGTAAAATAACTGATCATGAAACACAGGTTCATTACTTAGGAAAAAATATGCAGAATGAACTGATTCAAATCCTAGCAAATGCCATTAAAAAGAAAATTGTAGAAGCTGCCCATTCTGCAAAATACTTTTCAAAAATACTGGACTGTACACCAGATGCGAGTCATGTTGAACAAATGACGATCATTCGTTTTGTGTATATGGAAAAGTCTGCAGATGAAGATAACGTTGACGTGCTCATAAAGGAACAATTTTTGGATTTCATACCACTGAAGGAGACGACTGGAACATTTATGACTGAAACTATTCTACAAGAGCTTGAAACAATGTCATTATCTGTTGAAAACTTACATGGCCAAGGCTATGATAATGGGAGTAATCTCAAGGGTAAAGACAATGGTGTGCAAAGGAGAATGATAAAAATCAATCCTAGGGCCTTTTTTGATCCTTGCAGTGCGCATTCTCTGAATTTGGTTGTCAATGATGCTGCTAGATGCTGTTTGGAGGCAAGCAGTTTCTTTGACCTGGTGCAACATGTTTATGTGTTTTTCTCAGGGTCAACATGCGGTTGGGAGATTTTGACTCGTCATGTGAATTCTCTAACTGTGAAACCACTTAGTCAGACAAGATGGGAGAGTTGCATTGATGCTTTGAAGTTTCTTTGCTATGAACTTGGAAACATTTATGATGCCCTAATTGAAATTTCTGACACTACCTTTATTGGATCATCTGGCAATATGGCATGTTCAGATGCAGAAGCTCTTGCAAATGGCCTTTCCAAATTCAAATTTGTGACTTCACTCATTTTGTGGTACAATATCCTTTTCGAGATTAACCTCACTAGTAAGCAGCTTCAGGAAAAGAACTTGAACATACATTCTGCTATTCAAAAACTGCAGCAAACTAAAAATATTCTGGAGGAATTCAGAAGTGATGAAGGGTTCGAAAGAACACTGGTAGATTCTCTCTAGCTTGCTGAAGAAATAGACTTTCCAACAGAATTTGAACCAGAGCCAGTTCACATTCGGCAAAAGAAACAGCAGGTTTTGTATGAAGGACAAGACACAACCATTCAGAACCCAAAACAAAGGTTCAAAGTGAATTTCTGCTTCGCAGTCCTTGATACTGCTATTCACTCGGTTGACAAAAGATTTCAACAGATGCAGCAGCTAGAGTCAGTATTTGGCCTTCTATATGATATCCACAGCTTGCAAAAGAAAACAGCAAAACAGATAAGAGAATTTTATATGAAACTGGAATCAGCATTGACTCATGAAAATTCAAAAGACATTGATGCTACAGATTCATGAGTGAGCTTCAGGCTTTTTCAAGATCACTTAAGAAAATTCCACTCCTGAAGAACTACTGAAGTTCATGAAAATAAACTCACAGACAGTTTTCCAAACATTTGTATAGCTCTATGCATTCTTTTAACTTTGCCAGTTTTCGTAGCTAGTGGGGAACGTAGCTTCTCTAAGTTAAAATTGATAAAAACATATCTGCGTTCAACAATGGTGCAAGAGAGACTTGTTGCACTTGCCACAATGTCAATAGAGTATGAAATAGCTGAAAAACTGGGTCTAAAAGAACTAGTGACTGAATTTTCAAAACATAAAGCAAGAAAAGTCATGTTTTAAGATCACAGAGTGTTTTTTAGTCGCAGTGTTTTGTAAATACAGGTTAAAGTTCATTGAAGAGTTTTCTTATTTCTTTCTATATTGGATGTGGTGGTAATGGCAGTTAAAGCAGGATAGCATAACGGATGATTTTGGATTTGTAATAATAAAAATTACAATTAACATTTTTAATTCATTTTTATTTGAAATTGGACTGAAATATCATCTAGCTGTCATGTAGAAATCTATTCCGAAAATTTCGTGTGTCTGTTTTATCTGATCTCAGAAACATTAGTTGGACAGAGGGATGGACAAACCGAATAATTAAGGCTCTGGTTTGTTTCTTTTTTAAAAAAAAAAAAAAAGCTTAAAAAACATTAAAAGGAAAAAAGGGGCAAAATGTTTCCCAATTTACCAAAAACCTCAGCCTAGATCTGCCCTTGGGGTTTGGGGGTTGGGGGCGCCGATTGCATGGTTTGCCCAGGGCGCCAGTTGCTGGCAGCTAGTCTAGGGCCACCCCGCCCCTCCGGTGTCCTCTTCTGCCACTCTCTGCAAAGCCACACAGAGCAACCACCTCCCCACTTAACTAGCTAGCAGCCTCCCTCCTTATTCCCAATGCAGAGTCACAAGCCCCAGTACTCACAGCCCCATTCAGCTCTGGCCAGCAGTGATACTGGATCCAGCTCCGGCTCGTCCATCTCGGGCGATTCCTCCCTGGCACAGTGCTCCTCCTGGCTCCTGTCCTGGGGTGTCCCCAGTCAGCTGCCCTGTCAATCCCTGGCTTCAGGCATGTTCTCTCTATTTCACTTTGCGAGGGCCTGCTTGCCGCAGCCCTTCTCTCTCCGGAGCTCCAGAACAACAGCCTCCAGTTTCCCTCCTTTCTCTCACTGCTCCTCCTCCCCAGTTAGGAAAAAGATTTAAAGGGGCCATGCTCTCTAAACCCCAAAAGGGGTTACACATGTAAAGTATATTACTTGTACACAAAAGAGTCCGTGCCTAAATAAATAAAAATTTCACATACAAGAGATTGTGTGTGTACAGACAGGGGCTGTGTATTGAAATTTTGACCTATGATGTTTAGAGATGGATGGTTCTTCACTCTTCTAATCTTAGTTTACTTTAAGAATAGCAGGAAAAATACCAAATTTTTGATTGCAGCCAGTTCCCAGCATTATTTTGGCTAAGAGAGAGGAAGTATTAGAGGAAATATTTCTGCCAAAAAAATACTATCATGTACACATCCTCCTATAACTTTGGCAGCAGCTAGCTGACATTTTGTTTTATAGCCATGTTATGGTGTTACATTGCATAATGCAGGCAATGATGATGTGTCTGAATTAGTAATTAAATACTCTCTCATGGCTGCCCTGCAAAAATGGCAATCATCACATACCTGCATTTATTGTGGAATGCTACCATCAATTCCAGATGAGGTAGAAGGTGGACCAACAGAGTGACAAACAGAACAAGTGTCTGTGAAATTTGTGAACAGCTGGTAAGTCAGGGTTGCTGATATATGAATTGCCCATCAACAAAACAGCTCATCTCCATATGCAGCTTGTTTTCATTCCAAAGCTGAAACTAAAGGGAAAGATCTACTAGTAACTAGTAGGTTTATGTGGAGTCCAAACATGTGTAGAGGGAAAGTGATAGATGGCTAGAAACGTTGTTCTCCATAAAAATAAATCTTGCAAACTTGTCTTTTAAGTACTAATGCTCTAGAGATTAGATTGTGATAATTATTTTAAAAATAAATTAAATTGCAGTGTTATTCCAAAGTACTGATTTGAGAATTAAAATGTTTTTCTGAGTTAAACTGTACCTAGGTTTCAGTCTTACCAATGTTGTTACAGGATTCTTAAGTAAAGAAGTACTGCCATCCAAAGGGTAGGTCAAAAAGGTAGTGCACCCAAAGTGCACCCAAAGTATTTTCTAGAAATAAAGGTTGGCAGTGGTCACTATTAAAAATCCACCACACTTTGACAGGACATATTTTCAGCCTCAGTCTCCATATTTTGACCCTGTTTTAAATATACGAATAGATGGACACACTTTTGCTGGCATAAACATTTGCAACATTGGAGGCTGATTTGAGGCCAGGGGAAAATTTGACTCAAGGTAGTTGCACTCTATTTTTAAAACTGATACTTATGATATCTTTATAAAGAGACATAAGTGAGTACCCAGTGTTATTAATTTAGCAGTGTTTGGTAATGACAGCTGTGCGAATACCAGACTTTTGGTTTGCAGATCGAACAAAAAAAAATTAGGAAAAAAAATCATTTTGAGTTGACCTGAAACAATTTTGTTTTTTGAATTTGACAAACTGAAAAGTAATAAATAAACAAACAAAATTGTTTGGCTCAAATGAAACATTTAATTTTGATTTAGAGCTTTGTATTTCTTTTTTAAAAATTAAACAATATAGAAGGACATTTCAAAATGAAAAAAGGTATTTTGAATCAAAACATCAAAATGTTTCATTTTGAAAATGTTGAAATGAAATATTTTGACACTTTCAGAATTTTGTTTGCCCTTTTATTTTTTATTTTCTACATGATTGATCAGGAAAACCAACATGAATTTGCAAAATGTTTCATGCCAAATTTACATTTTTAGATTAAACAAATTGATCGGAACCCCAAAATACATTTTATGTGTAGGATGCCCAACATGGAGGGTTGGAGTCAGATGGAGAAGATGTTGTCAGACATTCCCCAACAGTCACAAGGCCTGTGAGTGCAAGCCATTAAGGCTGAATGAGTCTGACTGCCAAACAATGGAACAATAATCACAGGGGCATTTTGTTGAATGGCCTGGATAGCCAATGGGGTAAAACCATTCTAAGTCAACATGAAGACTTCACACCTAGGCCACCCTCTCCCTCCCAAAGCAATATGGTAATTGGGTCAGGCCCACAGGGAGGCTTTGAAAAGGAGTTTTCCCTGAGAGAGGAGAACAGCCTGGGAGACACAACATCTGAAAGTCAAACAGAGACCAGGCTGGATTCCAGGATCTACTGGGTTTTCTTCAATAATGTAAGTTGGGTCTGTTCTGTTCTCGTAACTCAAGAGGAAAGCCCTTCAAACTTGGCTTGTAGTGAAGCATGAGATTAAATGAATCTAAATATGCATGGTGGGTTTGTTGCTTTGAGATCATTTTCTCTAATGTGATGTACCATTTGCTAACAACATACTTGTTTTAAGTAGTCTGTTGGCCATTGTATCACTGGTCACAGGCTCCCAAATGGAAGAAACAAAGGATTCCAGACAGATCTACAGTGTAATAAGTTGCTGTAAATATGGCACTATAACCAGATCCAGCTCTGGGAGAGAAAGCATTGTGAAATTCCACCCCAAGACAGGTAAGAGGTGCACTCAGACACCAGAAAAGTAACAGTGATGCAAGAAGCCCCGGAACAGTGACACCTGGAGAAAATTCTAATCATAGGCAAGTGAGATGAACACTTGCAGCTTCCGTTACAGCTGCAGGGGAGGAGCAGAATACAAAAGTGGAAATTCTTGCTTCCTTTAGCAGACAAAGTGATCACAACAAATAACCTCACAAACTGAGAGCCCAACTCAATCTCCATTGAAAACAATAGAAGTTGGACCAGGTCTTTAGGCCCTGACTTCACAATTGGACTCCTGAGAGCTGAGGCCTGAATCTATATGGACCACCAATGATTTCAGCGGGACTCTATGCAGGGACATAGGTCTGGTCATGTGGATCTCATTTCAGCATCAAAGCTTCACTAAAGGCTTAATCACAATTTAGAAAAGCCATCAGTGTAGAGGATTAGGTGCTGAAGACACACAAAGACCTGAAATCAAAGAATACTAAAAGTACATTCCTGGAAATCATGGAATGAACCTTCCAGAAAGGCCAACTCCCATCCCAGAATCAGACTCCAATGAGAAACTGCGGAACTGGAATTAATTTGCAAACTGGACACCATTAAATTAGGCTTGAATAAAACACTGGGAGTGGATGGGTCATTACACAAAGTAAAACTATTTCCCCATGCTAATTTTTCCCCTACTGTTACTCACACCTTCTTGTCAGCTGTTTGAAATGGGCCGTCCTGATTATCACTACAAAAGTTTTTTTCTCCTGTTGATAATAGCCCACCTTAATTGATTAATCTCGTTAGAGTTGGTCTAGCAACACGCATTTTTTCATGTTCTCTGTGTATATATATCTTCCTACTGTATTTTCCACTGCATGCATCCGATGAAGTGGGTTTTAGCCCACAAAAGCTTATGCCCAAATAAATTTGTTAGTCTCTAAGGTGCCACAAGTACTCCTCGTTCTTTAGACATCTATAGTTATACAAGTGTAACAAGAAGCATAAGCAAGTAAATGTTGTGCTGGGGCATCTGAGTAAAGCTGGAGTTTGTAAAATATTGGGCCTTTTTAATAAAGAAAGCTTCATAAATTTTTGTTAAATTTAAGCAAACAAAAATGAATCCCCAGTGGCAATATTTGCTTTTTAGGGAGTATTTAGGGAAAAGGTCTGCCAAAACCAACTCAGAGACCTATCAAATCATGCTTAAGGTATAAAAGTTACCAATGCCGCATAATATAGTGTTGTGTGTTAAGTCTGCAAACCAGAATTCCTATTTATCTGAAACATGTCAAGGGCAAAAAAAGACTAAACTTTCCATGTGTTGATGAAAACGGGACACAAATCTAGAAAAGACAAGCACTATAAAACTGCAGGAGATATTGCATTAAAACAGATGTTGTTTAATATCTTTCATAAAAGGTGAGAGTAATTAACTTTTTACCAATTGTTATAGTGGATTCTCAAGCACTGCCAATTTTTAAATTAAGATTGGATTTTTTTTCCTAAAAGATCTGCTCTTGGAAATATTGTGGGGAAGTTCTCTGGCCTGTGTTATGCAGTAGGTCAGACTAGCTGATCAAAGCCTTCTGGCCTTGGAATCTATAAACATTTAGGACCATCTCTCATAGGATGCATACTTGGTTTAAGCGGCAATAATAAATGTTGGAACAGCTGAAAAGTTTTAGGTGATTATAGTAATCTTTTTTGAATGCAAAAATGTTAAAATATGTTATAGTACAGTAGCATTAATAATGGAATAATATTTGGAGAAAAATAAGTGTACAGCTATGAGTTTGCATTCCAACATGTTTCAGGAATTAATGGAGTCCCTAAATCAATGTGAAAATGGATATCTAATAGCTTTCTCATTACTAAGAGAATCATATCTAGGCATCAGAAGGACGAATGACGTACTTGGAAAAGAATTTCTAATAGAGCTTGCAGACACAGCCTCATGTAGAAAGGTATATATATTAGAGGACAAAAAGGAAAGAATGCATGAAGATTTGGAACACATTTTAAAACGATTTGAGGGGAAATCATAGGATTATAGACAATATATGGTTTGACTGTGCTGAGCATAAGTAAGAACAAAAGTAACATTCATAGATTATCAAATTGGGGGAAATTTAGGGAAAGAAATTTCTCTCTTGTCTCTCTCTAGATAAAAACTCTAGTTACAGTAGTCCCATTGAAGTTAATGTGTCAGATTCACTGCTGCAAAAACCCAGGCTGTTGGCCCTCAAACCAGCACTAAATCCGCCAAGAGTGGGGGACAGCATTGCAAAGTCACTCGCTTCCCCTGCTCTGTTGGGTGGGCCGGTCCCTCCTGGCAGGATATTCATTCAACATCTGCACATTTCCAAATGAGATCAGGATCTTGGTCACAGTCCCTTGACCCCAATCTTAGCAAGTAATAGGACCAACTGAGGGGAAGGGGGGGAGGAACATAGCTTTGCCCTAAAGCATAAGCAGAGGATCAGCATGACTCTTGACTATATAGAA